TGGGGTCAAGGATCTCACCATGCTGCTCAGGCTGGTCTTTAGCTCCCGGCCTCAAGCTATCCTCTTGCCTCCCAAAGTGCTAGGCTTACAGGTGTGAGCAACCTCTCCTGGCCAAATTTCTACTATTTCTCCTGTTTTCAGCAATGTCCCTTCTTTCTGCTCTCTGCAGTGCCTGGCGTTGCTACTTCTTGAGATTTTCAGCTGCTTCTCAGCATATTCCCTATCTGCAGATGGGAATACCAAGGTTTCATGCCCTTCACTCTGCTGAGTGAATTATTGTACCTCCATTCTACTTTCCATCTTTTTTTTGGTCTCACTTTGTTGCCCTCTGTAGAGTGCTATAGCGTCACAGCTCACAGCAACCTCAAACTCCTGGCCTCAAGTGATTCTCTTGCCTCAGCTTCTCCAGTGGCTGGGAGGACAAGCACCCACCACAACACCTGGCTATTTGCAGAAGCAGGGGTCTCGCTCTTGCTCAGGTTGGTCTCGAACCCATGAGCTCAGGCAATCCTGCATCAGCCTCCCAGAGTGGTAGGATTACAGGTGTGAGCCACCACACTTGGCTACTTTCCATCTTCCAAAAACTTGCTGATAGTTCTTTTTATTGCTTCTCATATCCTTTTGCTGCTTTTTATTGTTTTCTATCACTTAAGAGGATTTGGAGAAGATATAGTTAACAAAAATTTTCTTTTTGGTTTGTTTTTAAAGCTAAAAGACAAACTGTGGCTCTGGAACTGCTTGAATCTGAAAGAAAATATGTCATTAACATCTCTCTGATCCTGAAGATAAAGGCCACATTCCAGGGGTCAGATGGAAAGAGGAATTCCAAAGAGAGAAGGTATCCATGTATTCATTGCCTTTGCTTTTCAGATTGATTAGGACTTAAGGTAAGTTTTTTATTGTTTCCACTTTGGGAATTCTGGGGCCTATCAAGAGTTCCAGAAATAGCCCTTTAAAAAGAGACTAGGCAGTGATGGCAGGTGTCTTAGTCCACTCTGTGCTGATATAACACAATACCGCAGACTAATTTATAAAGAACAGAAATGTATTCTCTCACAGTTCTAAAGGCTGAGAAGTTTAAGATTAGGGCATCAGCATGTTCTGTTTCTGGTTCCAAGATGGTGCCTCCTTGCGGAGTCCTCTGGAGAGGAAAATGTTGAAGACAATAGGGGTGCCCACTCCCCTCTGCCTGTTCTATGGCAACAACCCATTCGTGAGGCTGGACACTGAAATGAAAAGCACCTCTCTTTTTTTTTTTTTTTGAAACAAAGCCTCACTTTGTTGCCCTCACCCTTGGTAGGGTGCTGTAGTGTCACAGCTCACAGCAACTTCAAACTGTTGGGCTCAAGTGATTCTTTTGTCTCAGCCTCTCGAGTAGCTGGGACTACACACACCTACCACAACACCCAAAAAAGGGTGTTTTTAGAGATGAGGGTCTCTGTTCTGGCTCAATACTTATTATTGCATTATTGCATAATTAAGAATTATTTTGGGTTGCACCTGTAGCTCAGTGACTAAGGCGCCAGCCCTAAATACTGAGGGTGGCAGGTTTGAACCTCACCCTGGCCAAACTGCAACAACAACAAAAAAATAGCTGGGTGTTGTGGTGGGCGCCTGTAATCCCAGATACTCAGGAGGATGAGGCAAGAGAATCATCTAAGCCCAAGATTGGGAGGTTGCTGTGAACTGTGACACCACAGCACTCTACCAAGGGCAACAAAGTAAGACTCTGTCTCTAAAAAAAAAAAAGAATTATTTTACTGTAAAATAGAGAGTTAGGCTTACAACACATGATGAATTTTGGAGGACACATTCAGGCCATAGCCGTAGGGAACCCCTGGCCTTGAAAATCAAACTTCAGATTTTCAGCAGTAAAGAAAATGAGTATAGTCTGCTGGGCCTTTAGTGTCTCTGACATGTCTGTTTAAAATGTAAAGAGAGAATGACTTGCAGCGAGGGAGGCATTGTTCTCTGCTGCTATCTGCCCATCTCCGCAGCTCACGGGTCTCATAGAGGAACAAGGGAATGGGTGTTGTTGTGGGAAATACTAAGAGACTGTTAGGTAGATGATACAGGGATGATATAACTCTGGACTTCGAACTTTCTTATTATTTGTTCAGGCAATCTCTTAGTACTAGGCAAAAGAGAGAGGGAGAGAGGGAGAGGGAGAGGGAGAGGGAGAGAATGAATGAGAGAGGGAGAGAATGCATGTACCTGTGTGGTGGGGCAATGCTTGCCCAGGGTCTGCCATATGGTAAGAGCACACTGCCTCAATGTTGCGGCTCCCCACTCTACATCTCTTCAGAGTCTTTAGGTTTTTTTCTGTATCCCTCCCTGTTGGGATACAGAAGGAAGGAGAAAAGTACGACTAAGTGCAAAAACTTGTGTAATGGAGATGTAATAATCCAGAATAATTGAGGAAAAGGCCAACCCGAACAAATGGAAAGTCTTCATTATAGACTGTTATGGATATTTGTAGCATTATTACTTTAAACCTTCTATCAGGTAATATACATACATTATGAATCTACCTAAGGAAGACCCTAATTATGTTTTCCTGCTCCTTACTATTCCCCTAAATCTACTTGACTTTGAGGCTGCCAACAATATACCCTGTCCCTAAAACACAATGCTCCTCTTCTCTAAATGACTGAGGCTACAAAGTATTTCCTGACAAACCCGTAAGTGGCTTGACTATTTTCAAGAATTATTTTACTGGCTGGGAGCCTGTAGCACAGTGGTTATGGTGCCAGCCACATGCACTGAGGCTGGCGGTTC